AATGTTAGCTTGAACTGAAATTGTCCTGGGATTGGGATGGGATCATTTGGTGCCTCATGATTCATTTTGAATTTCGAGAGTCGTGAAACAATTACAAAATGATTCTTAAAGGAATAGTTCACCCAAAAAAAAAAAAAATTACCTGAAAATTTACTCTCAGGCCATCCAAGACATAGATGAGTTTGTTTCTTCATAGGAGCAGGTTTGGAGAAATTTAGCATTACATCACTTGCTCACCTCTGCAGTGAATGGGTGCTGTCAGAATGAGAGTCCAAACAGCTGATAAAAACATCACAATAATCCACAAGTAATCCACACGACTCCAGTCCAACAATTAACATATTATAAAGAGAAAAGCTGAATGTTTGTAAGAATCAAATCCATCATTAAAACATTTATAACTTCTTATGGTTGCTTTTGCCTAAAATGCAAGTCCTCTATCCATAATAATGCTGAGTCTCATCAGAATCAAGAGAGACTTTTATTCTGACGGCACCCATTCACTGTAAGGGATCCATTGGTGAGCAAGTGATGAAAAATCTTTTTTCCCATGAAGAATCAAACTCAAATGTTCAGCAAATCTTGATTTCTGGATGAACTATTCCATTAAAGCTTTAAGTTTTCAGCATCAGTGCTCCAGGAATATTCCATTTCCCGCTTTTGTTTACTCCATTGTTTCTCAGACTTCAGAGATTGTAGCATTTTAAAAGGAGTCATTTACAAAAGAGTCGTAAGTGCATTAAGTCATCACACAGGAGGAAACGACTTTGTGGCTGGCTGGAAACGAACAGGTGCTCTTTCAGGTTCATTTAGCGTTGCTTTCGAGCGAGGAAGTAAATTGCTGCGGGGAAAGTCCAGCATAATCCTGTTTTTTTCTTTCTGTTTTTTTTTCTTGCAACGATTTACATGCATTTGAACCCCGAATCAGCTTTTGTCTGGTCCGTTGTGTCATTTTCAGCGAGACTGAGTAAACATCTGCGGGAGAGCGGTGGGGGTAAAGCGGCCTAATTAGGATGAAGTCCTCTATTCCCAGCTGCTCACTATGTTTAGACAGACGACGTCTTGTGCGGGTAACCTCCTCTCCTGAGTGCCCTCTCACAACGCAACCTGTGAGGTGAATGCAACACAACAGTTGGCGTAATAAGACAATTAGCCCGTGCAATTTGTAACTTTCTTAATTGCACTGCAAGCTTAAAGTACTTCCAACGCACCCGTCACCTGCTAATTGTGAACCTATCACTCACTAGAATAGGAGATGGAGAAAACAAAAGGCCGTTCTCTCTCTCCATCTTTGTCTCAGGCTCTCTCCCGTCGTCGTTTTCTGTCCTGATTAAATAAATGCTTTTTAATTAGTTTGGAAGTAATGCATGTGTTCGCCATCCTTTGTCTTAATCTCCACTGGTGCCTTTGTGAAAAAACCTTCTGTGATGGAGACTCGTACAATCGAGTGTGCTGAAATATTTACCATCGCCGTTGGACGCCTGCCACAATGTGGAATTGCCTCAGCAGCCCTAAATGAAATTGTCCCTAATATGTTTCTGCTGATTAGAGCCTCTGCTTAGATGAAGAACGGGGCGTTTGCCAGCTAATACAAAAGGCTATCCTTGAGTGCTGTCCATTTATCAATATTAGCTTTTTTTTCCTCTGAGAATTAGCCTTTGTAATGGGGGAAAATAGTAGAATGACTCGTAACTTTGGGCAGTAAGTGTTGATGTTGGATGGTGGCTTATTCAAAACTCCTGTTTGGAGTAAATAGCAGATGCTGTCGTGGTCGGCCATATGGAGCTCGCTGCCTCGCAGCAGACTGAGAGCTGGGAATGGAAGCAGGTGGAAGGTACAGAGATTAAAGACCCACTCAGGCTGCCTTACATCACTGTAAGTTGCGCTTCGGTAGCCGCGAATTAAATCTGCTCAATTTGACGTTTCTGTTCGTATTGAAGATGGGTCATCAACTTGTTTGCAACGTTAGGGAAGGTTACTTGTAAATGTATGGCAATGTGTTCCTCCAAAAAAAGTAGGAAATTGCATTGCATTGGGCCTTATTCAAACAATATACAAAATCAATTTCTTTGTACGTTGTTGTAAAAAAAAATCTTACAACATTAAAATTTTGTGATGTTTTTTTTTTACTTGATTGTAATATTAAGCATTTTCATAAATAAAAAAAATAATACCGGTAATAATTAATTACATGCATTTTATTTATTAATAATAATGTAAACACAAAATGAAATAGCTTTACATTTATTTTTATTTTATTTTTGTTTTACTTGATTGGAAAATACAATAAAAACTATTATAGGAGCAATTAAGATTGCTTTTGTTATTTTTTCTATATAAATACACTCAATTAATAATATTATAAAATTAATATGTAATAAATAGTAAATACATACAAAAAATATTCACTAACATTTGTTAAATATTGAATTTTAAAAATTATTAAAATGTAATGATAATAATAATGTAAACAAAAAAAAATGAAATAGCATTTACGATATTTTTGACCTTCCTAAATGTGAGCATTTTACTCGATTGGAATATATACATTTATAAAAATAAAACATACAAATATACAATTAAATAAATATTGTATAACACAAATATATATAAAAAAACTCATATTATTTTAAATTGTACTGTTTATTTAACAAATGTATGTATTTTGAATTATTTGGAAAAACATTCATGAACATGTATTATCCTTACAAATTTCTGTATGAATTGATATTATTACATTCATTTGACATTCAATTCTGTAATGTGTTTTGTTAACGTTTTGTTCTGCTTGTGTTTCATGAATGAGGTCTATTGTTAGTAAAGGTAATAGTTACTTTTGTCTTATTGCCCGTTTTCCAAGTCTGTTTCTTGCCAAATAGAAGCTTGCGACTGTTTTTATTTACTTAACATATTTAAAGTGGTTATTTTTGTTGTTTAAAAGTTTGTCTTCCTGATATAGTTTGCATGCAACAGCTAATACCCTGTACGAGTTCAAAATGTAACACATTACCTCAAACATACCATTGACAGTACACTACAAAACAAAACAACCCCCTGTTGGAGAGCTTTTCTTTGTTGATTTTCATTTCTCATGGTGACCCACTATATGTTGCTCTATCGATCAAATTTCTTCATAACATCCAGCGATTATCTGGACATCAAAGTCAGACAGGAGATCATCTCTAGATTATCACCGGCCGTCTGTAATGTCGTGGCAGTATTTATTAGGGTGTTTGAGGTTACATTCCTCACTCAAGGGCAGAGCCGCAGTAAAGCTCAGCGGGGACTTGAACCAGCAGCAGATAGGGTTGCTGCTCCATTACCCTGCCCAGTGGACCAAACGTGGTTTCATTCATCTCTGCATCAGAGGCAAATCCACCTGATCTCTTGTGTTTGGATCGTTTCATACTGCAGCTCCCGATAGGCGCTCAAATGAAGATTTGGATGTAAAATGATGCAATTGTGTGTGTGTGTTGAGTAAATGTACTCTCCAGGCGTATGTTTGAGCAGTCAGGTTAAATGAACTGCATTCAGAGATCACACCAACTATCTAGAATAAAACTTATGAAAATACATGAATGTTGAAAAACAAATGACATCAAACGGGTTGGCTCAGTGTGTTTTGCAAGGTTATATTACCTTGAATTTCCTTTTATAAACTCAAAATGAAATCACATTTACAATACATTTTGATGTGAGACTTTTAGGACTTGATATAGTTTTTTAGTTGATTGGAATGGGAATGTAAATAAATAAATATTCACTAACATTCATTTTATGAATAAAATATAATAATAATAATAGCAACATTTTGGACTTGACATTTCTTTATTGGGAAGTTAATGCATTTAAATATTTACTAACGTTTCATTTTTTAATAATAAAGTGAATTAATAATGACAACAACATTTTGGACTTTTTTACTTGACTGGAATATTAATGATATAATATTAAATATTAAATAAATACATACAATTTCTAACATTAATGCATTTTTACAAAATAAGAACGAAATAAGTTTATTATTATTGTTGTTGTTTTCTTTTACAAACAATTAATTGAATTATTTGGAAAAAAACATTATTACTAATTTATCATTTCTAACACATTTTTGTGTGACTTGTTAAAATATTTTGCGATTTGTTTTTAATAATAATAATAATTATTATAATAATAGCTATTATTATTATTATTGATGAGTCATGCAAATTAATACCAGGTGCATTTATTGAAAACTGTAAGTAGGTTCAATTTTTATTTCATATTTCTTCTAGTTTATTTAAAAAAAAAATTATTTCATGCATATTTTTCTTTCACTCGATATATCATAAAAGTCTGTTTTTGGTGCCATGTTCCTTCAACTTAGCTGATCAGCCTGAGTGACCGCAATCCGACTCATGAAATGCACACGTTTCTCAATCTCTGTTTTGCAGCACCACCTGCAGGAAGACTGTCGCACAATCCGCTCAATCGCTCTCTCTTTCTCTCTCTCTCTCTCTCTCTCTCTCTCTCTCTCTTCCCCTCCAGATGTACAGCACATTAAGCGCAGAGACATCGTGCTTAAGAGGGAACTGGGCAACTGGGCCTTTGGGAAGGTGTTCCTGGCAGAGTGCTACAACCTAAGCCCCACTAAGGACAAGATGCTGGTGGCTGTCAAGGTAAGAGATGATCCCTCCATTCCAGCAGGGCCGTGGCGCTCTCCAGTTACACAGGACTCATTCCAAAGGTCAAGCCCTTTTTTTCATCCCCCCTCGAATGACATATAAAGTTGATCCCCCTGTGCCCACCAGAGAGGGCTTTCTTTCGGGGAACGATCGCGAGACTTCTTGGTGGTGGAGGATTTGTTGACTAAGATCAATGATGGAAAGAGCTCTGCTGTGCTTCGATCTCTGTTTTGCAGCACCGCCTGCAGGAAGACTGTCGCACAATCCGCTCAATCGCTCTCTCTTTCTCTCTCTCTCTCTCTCTCTCTCTCTCTCTCTCTCTCTCTTCCCCTCCAGATGTACAGCACATTAAGCGCAGAGACATCGTGCTTAAGAGGGAACTGGGCGAAGGGGCCTTTGGGAAGGTGTTCCTGGCAGAGTGCTACAACCTAAGCCCCACTAAGGACAAGATGCTGGTGGCTGTCAAGGTAAGAGATGATCCCTCCATTCCAGCAGGGCCGTGGCGCTCTCCAGTTACACAGGACTCATTCCAAAGGTCAAGCCCTTTTTTTCATCCCCCCTCGAATGACATATAAAGTTGATCCCCCTGTGCCCACCAGAGAGGGCTTTCTTTCGGGGAACGATCGCGAGACTTCTTGGTGGTGGAGGATTTGTTGACTAAGATCAATGATGGAAAGAGCTCTGCTGTGCTTCGAGGAGAGATCAGCTACAGTTGCGTTTAATATTTGCCATTGATATAAGGTTTGGGAGGGTATTAAGATATTGCAGTGCTGTGGTTTAGTCTTCATGACATAGCCAGAGAGGAATGAGTCACCGCTGTGGGCAGACAGTTCCTGGATAATGCTTTAACATGGTTTACCACATGGGACTATTCACCAAGGTCAAGGAACTCAGCATCCAGTGGGCTGAGGCGCTCTATTGAAGACCGTCTCTAGATCAGTGATGATCTATAAGTGCGTCAGTTTGTTTGTCAGTTTAAAAATGTCAACGTTTCAAGGTTTCACAAATGCTGACTTGTTGAAGTATGAAGTCAAACATATAGTATTTTGTTGTGAAAATTTTAAAAGAATTTTGAGTTTGCATTTCACAATTCTGACTTATTTTTTTTCTATAACACTCTATTTGGGTTATATATGTCTAGTCATAATGTTACCGGCACCCAGTTCTCCCATGTGTTCCCCTTTTTCATCATCTTTGAGATGATATTGGATATTGATATGATATTTAGTTCAGGTCAGCTGGAGAATAAATCTGGAGCAATAATACTGTCTGCTAGTGATGGTTTATCATCCCTCAAAGCATATTAGTCTGGAGACACTGTAATCAGGAATGATGGAGCTGACGTTTTCTTTCTGATGGTGTCAGAAGAAGAATCTCATGTGCAGAGGAACACAAGCAGCTACATGCCCTGCTTTATTACTAACCCATGTTAAAAAAAAATGTCCAACTGCTTTTTCCAAAGGCTCCATTAATATTAAAAATATCTGATGGTTCAGAATAAATCCCAAAGATGTCTTTGATTAGTCTAATATTAAATATATTAAAAAGTCTCCAATCGAAAGGCAGCTATCTCATTAAACACATTTCTGTTCTTGGAGGAACCTGAGAAATGAGTTTGAGCTGCAAGCCATTTCATTTTATACCTCTATACTTACACTGTCTTTCAACAGTGGTGTAGTTTTCATCTATTTTTATTTCACCTAAGGAACTCTAGGAGAAACATCTGTTCTGAGGCATCGTTGACACCTAAATGTGTCTCCTCAGCTTTGAAAGAGCAACCTCTGAGCAATAAAACGTTCCTCTGGGAAGCTGCTTGGCTTCGTTGGCTTCATGGAGCTCTATCACAGCAGCTGCTGTTTGAAAGCCGTCCAACTCAAATTCAGAGGTCAAGTGTTTTTCTTGTATTTTGGCCAAAGAGCTGCCAGCGTCTCTCTCGTATCTTTGCTCTCCCCCATCTCCACCTGATGCTCTAGACCTCCAGACCCTTATTACGAGTGACAGCCCCCCAGGTGGTGCTGGATTCATCCCCCCTGCTCTCTTCAACCTGTGCAGGTGGCCAATTTCGCAACACAGGGGTAATAAAGCATTATGGATAGGGATAGATACCTCACCATCTGCGAATTGGTTCTCTCATCCATCTCCAACGCATTAACCTCTTTGCAATTCCTGATATGGATTAACCCACGGTAGCTCTAATTAAAATTAAACTGCGAGCTCTGAGGGCGAAACGCAATTATAACATAATTGAAGGAGCGATTCCTCACAAACACACTGCGATGCAAGTATCACGGCCAAGGCCTCAGAGGGGGGTTATTTTTCAGTGAATGACGGGATATAAGATGACAAAAAGACGGATGTGTACAGGCAACTATTTAATCTTTCAGAAAAGACAAAGACAGGCACAAACAAATCAGAGACGGTCATTTGTGCATCTTCCTTGAGTGCATCGCCCTGAGGTTTAGTCCATGAATATGTGCCTTGAAAATCTTGAAAAATATATGATCTGTTATGAAATGTGTTACATGAATAATTGAAAGTACTTTGGACATCTACAATATCTGTGCAGTATTTGTGTTAACTCATCTAGGTTTTGATTATGCATTTAAATCTATGTCAACGTTTTAAGGTGTCACAGATCTGGATATTTATATTTTGTTGTGGATATTTCCCTGATAGATTTAAAGCACTGTGCAATAATAAAGATCTGCAATAATATTTGTCAACTCATCTACATTTTGATTATGCATTTAAGTATATTGTCAAAAATAGCTCTGCATGCTCAATTGGTTTGTGGCATATTGTATGTTTGGGATTCATAAACCATTAGAGACGGAACCGTTTAGATCCAGATTAGTTGGAGCAGTTAGTCTCATTAACCTGATTAATTGTTCACTTGAATTATTTATTACCGACTGACTCATTTAAGCTCCCTTAATTAATTTACTTGTACCAAGAGTATCAAAAAATAATAGCAAAGGCACATTTAATTCATGGATATACACAATATTTCCAATCATATTGATGATTTGTTTTTGAAATACGGATTTTAATTTCACTTTCCCCCAAAATATCTTTGGTTTCACCCACAATGCTTTAGTATCTATTATTGTGGTTTTCAGACAATAAACTGTCCGTCTTATGTGTCTACACAGACTCTGAAGGATCCCACCCTTGAGGCGAGGAAAGACTTCCAGCGGGAGGCCGAGCTGCTGACCAACCTTCAGCACGAGCACATAGTGAAGTTCTATGGCGTCTGCGTGGACGGAGACCCGCTTATCATGGTTTTCGAGTACATGAAACACGGAGACCTCAACAAGTTCCTCAGGTTTGTGGCTGTCATAACACAGTAATCTTTGTGCTTTGCTTGTGTAATGATGAAAATGAAATTCAATGACAATACAAAGGGAATCAGTTATTATTGATTGAGGTCACAGACCAAGTGTAACATAATTATAGAACCACTGAATTCCGATGTGATGCTCTGGGAATTCTATAGTCTTACGAGACCAGAATTTCTCAACCAGAAGTTTGTGATGGAATTGTGGTGGGTTATGATTATGACAGAATGCCAAATTAATTTTAAAATATATACAGTACATTTTTAATGAAATGTTCTAAATGAGAATACAATATAACACAGTATATGGGTAGTTGATGCTTAACATGTCCATGAACCTTTATTTAATCTATCAATATTTTAGAAATGTACTAGAAATACATATTTATCATATATATATATATATATATATATATATATATATATACACACACACATTAGTGGTGTCAAAATTAGCGCGTTAACGCAGGAGATTAATTTTTTCAGTTTAACATGTTAAAAATATTTAATGCAATTAACGCAGGGGTGGGGCTAGGGTTGGCCACCCCACTCACAACTGCTGCTTCTGTCACTTTTTCTCATGACAAGAAGTGCATTTATTCAGTCGCAGAACGACTGAGAACGGGAGACATTTCAGACGTTCACTCCACTTCACTTCAGCGCCAGGCGCGAGTCAAACGAGCGAGGAAACGGCTCTTCAATTGCATGCATAAAGACGCCGGCGCACGCTGTAGCCAGTATCCTTTCATATCAAAGCGCGAAATAAACTATGTGCATGCAATGTCATGGTCAGTTAAGTCATGAAGTTACCAAAAAGCTGCCTTAAAACTGTGCATGCATGTAATATATTTTATGTGTCACATTTAATTAAGAACATGTCTCTGAAATGGCTTTCAAAACGGTCCTGGAGCAGCCCAGCACTGTCTAATACACCCGATTTAACTCGTCAGCTCATTAATAGAGACTTTAAGACCTGAAGTGGGTCAGAAAAGGTAAAAAGAGTTGGTTTTATAATGGGCTTATGTGAAGGTTGTTTTATTTTTTTAAAGTCTAATAAATGTCAAAATTGATAGTTCTGAATTATACTGTAATGTTGAATGGCTAGTCATGTTGAATAGTCAATGGTTAAATATTAGGGGGGGGGGCAATTTTATATTGGTATCATTGATACTGGCCTTCAGTCATAAAAAAACAAATATTAAAAAATATACTATCTTTATGTTGTTTGTACATTCATTTGAAGATTGAATGTGAAAATTATTGCAATATAAAAAAATATTTTAAAAAATAATATTATTT